TAATTGTACACACACTGCTTTATTTTATTCTTGATGTACTTCTAGTTATGTGCCATATCAGTGCTGTAGAAATATTTTGTATAAAATGTAGCTTTAGCATTAAGTATGATAAACAAGTGATGCAAGGCTTTTTCAATGCAAGGTCATAAAAGAGCATTTATTTATTTATTTATTTATTTTTGAGACGGAGTTTCGCTCTTGTTACCCAGGCTGGAGTGCAATGGCGCGATCTCGGCTCACCGCAACCTCCGCCTCCTGGGTTCAGGCAATTCTCCTGCCTCAGCCTCCTGAGTAGCTGGGATTACAGGCACGCACCACCATGCCCAGCTGATTTTTTTTAGTTTTAGTAGAGACGGGGTTTCACCATGTTGACCAGGATGGTCTCGATCTCTTGACCTCGTGATCCACCCGCCTCGGCCTCCCAAAGTGCTGGGATTACAGGCGTGAGCCACCGCGCCCGGCCATAAAAGAGCGTCTTTAAAGGAATATAGTATTGCATAAAGGGAAGAGTACCGCCTTGGAACTATCTGAAGTTTGTCGTTTTGGCTGCTGCGTAACTTTTATTAGAAAAATTACCTAAGCTCTTTGAATGTTAGTTGCTTTATCCTCAATATGTGGATGACACAAGCTTCTATGCTGCAGGGTTGTTGCAAAGATTATATGGGACAGCATAAGCTAAGCGTTCAGCACATAATAAGTGCCGCTGTTGTCATTATAGTTACGGTTTTTGCCAAAAGCAAAAGGCTGCAGTATAGAAAACAAATGATATCACACTACTGATGTTTAGTGTTCTTTGGGAATTAATGTGTTCTTCCAAGTCTTTGTATATGTCACCCAGAGACAATTAAGTTACATTTGGCTCAAATGTCCATGATATGTGAGTTTTTAAAATAACGTGCTGTTGTAACACTTCACCACAGATTAGCATTTTGTATTTAATTAAGGTCACATCTTCCATATGTCACTGAGAAATGCTATTGTCAGATAAATTATGATAACCAGGTGTTATAACTTATGTAATATGATTTTCCTAGGCAAGGACCCATGTAACTTAACTTTTGAAAGATTGATATTTTCTATAGCTCTACTTAGAAAGATATTCTTAATCAAAAACAATGGCAGCAGGTTTTTAACTTTGCTATTTTGAGACTAGCTCACTTAGTTTACTAGCAGGTATTTAAACTACAGCACTAAAATGTTAGTCGGTAAATTAGGTTGCACTGACACCTGCTGGTCAGACAGTAAATTCCATAAAAATCGTGTTTCACTAGTTTAAATGAAATCAAATAATTTGACTGTTTTTACAACTCCTATTTTCATTGGAGTTGTAAAATTAGCTAATTTAACAAATTAGCTGCTGTATGTGGTAATTTATGATTTATAGTTCAGTTTGACTCAAGTGGTTTGTTAGCCTCTGTAACTCTCTTGGAGTTCTTCATAATGGCCAATGATAACTGTTGAATAGCTTCATTAAGAAGTAAAATGTCTGTGAAATCACAACCTCTTCCAGTCGGTGTTTACCACTGAGTGATGACATCATCATCATCACATATTTTGGTCCTAAAACACTGCAAACAATTAGCGATGTTTATTAAGTTAGAATTCACTTGGAGACAGTGCTCCTGAGGAGATAGGGTTAGCTGAACTCTATGGGATAATTTTTTCTTGCTGGGAAATAAAAAATGCCTACTTTAAAACCTACTAATTCAATACTCACATTTAGGGTTACAGAATTTTACAACGGGAAATAAATTTACTGATCATTTAGTTCGTCCCTCTCTTTTGTAGATGTGGAAATTGAGACCTAGATAAATTTAAATAACTTGGTCACCTAGCTGATACTAGAAAAAAAGTTCCCTGATTCTCTCATTACAAGATTCTTTCCTATATAAATTGTCTTCACTAGATGTATATTATTTATTGCTTAAACCAAAAATATTTGGACACACATAAATATTCATACATAACTATGCTTACTTGAGAATTTATATTTAGCTTATGTTAACCATGCTGACTTTAACTAGAGACATTATTAAAAGACACAACCTATTATATAGTATTTCTCTGTGGTGCTTCAGAAATAAATATCCATTCATATGTTCCCTCCCAGAAAAATCAAGCTTCATTATCCATTTCTTAAATATGTGAAAATGGAAAGAGGTATGTGGATCAGAAAAAGAAAATGAATCAAAAATAAACCTTAACCAGGGAAATTTCTGGCTCTTTGATCAGGCTGAGGGCCATACAATCATGTATCAGATGTCTTATCAGGAATATAAGCACATTTTTCCTTAATGTTCTGTTCCAATAGGCATTGTTATACAGGATAAAACTGTAAAAATGCAACTTTCATAAGTGTGTGATATAATATGTCAAATATATTTTTTCTCAACTGTAGTGCTACTGACATTTGGGACACTTAGTTCCGTGTGGTGAGGGCCTGTCTCGTACACTGTAGGATGCTTAGCAGCATCCCTGGTCTCTACCCTCTAGATGCCAGGGGCGAGCCCTCCACTGTAACAACCAAAAATGTCTCCAGTCATTGCCAGATGTCCACTCGGGGCCAAATCAGTCCAGGTTAGGACCTACTGCTATAAGGTAAGACTGATTTCTTCAGATACATATGTATTTTTTAACTACTCAAAATATTCCAATCAAGAATTTGATTCTTTTTCTTTTCAGATAAAAAAATTGACATATGAAAAGGAAAAGAGGCTCGAGGCATCTCTAAAATAAATAAATACTTCATTTACATATTCCTTCCGCACCGGAGCTAAAGCGGGCTCCTTAAATTGTTTTCAGTATTTGCGTATTTACTCTCACTTCTTTTTATACTCTAAGGTATAATTATGACACAGTTCCTACTTCACAACCAAGCTTTCTTTTTAACTGTTGGCCACGCTGCTCTTTATCAGTGATGGCTTTTACCATATTCTTTAATTTTCCCGATATTGCAAAGTTCTCTCTACACATTATGGCCTGCGAAAGCAAAAACAACCTGTGAATCTTAGGGCAGGTATTTTCATCCCCATTTTGAGATATTAAGTCAAGCCAGGACTCAGTGCATGTTTCTAGCTTATCAAATGGTCTTTTCATTTCATCTATGGTAACTGTATCTTTGAAAATGTTTGAGTTGTAATTAAGAGGGCTTTCAAGGAATGGAAAAAAGGAAAGAAGAATGGGGGAGGGGAAGAAGGAAGAAAAGGAGAAAGTGAACAAGGTTGAAAGCACCCTAGTAAAACAATACGCAGTAAAAACTGGCGTGGGGTAGAGGATGATCTAATCTCACCATTTAAGTCTTCCTAGCAACCCCTGAGATTCAGTATCTCCATATTCCTCCTCCATAACTGCAACATCCTCTACTGCCTCTCCCACACTCCACGCCCTGTCCCTCCTACCCCCTCAAGCGCATGCATTCTAGCACACACAGATATCCTTTCCTGACCTCAGGTTCAAAGCCCTAGGGCTTCCCCAGGGAAAACAAATGTGGCCATTTCTGTTGCTTCCAAATGGTTTATTGCTGGTATTAGAAAATTTTCAGTTTATACTGTCAACCTTGGAGTCAAGTTTTTGGAAGCACGTCAAATGCTTTGGAAGCATGTCAAACATTGCCCTCCAATGTTTTGACAGTTGTTTACCTTTTCAGCCTTCTCAATACAGAATTCTATGAATGAGCAGTCTCTCAAATCCAGCACCACTGGAATATTTTATACACAGAAAAAATATATAAAAGAACTTTTCAAATAATATTTATGTTGGGAAAACTTATGAGAAACAGATGCTCTCAGATGTGGTATTAATATGGTAGCCATGTCCATACCTCTGGAAGCATTTAGCAGTATGTAGCAAAAATCCTAAAAGCACACGTGTTACTAGATAGACCCAAGTATTGAACTTTGTGGGACTTCATTTTAAAGAAGTAATTATAGATATGCTCAAAGATGTCTTTTCGAGGCAAAGATACTTATCCAAATATTATAATCGTAAAAAAGTATAAAATAAAATGGTAGCATGATTGAGTACATAAATTATGGTTTATTCATATCATAAAATACCAGATAAACTATGCTAGTAAAATATATGCCTAAAAAAGTCTGTGAGAGTACATATGAAAATGCCATTGTTAATTGGGGTAGTGGGCTTTTAATTATTTCTTAATGCTTTCCCGAATATGCCAAAATTGCTAGAATGAATATATACTGCTCTAATGATAAAAAAAAGACTCTGTCTCCAAAAAAAAAAAAAGATAGTATTTGAAATAATGAAAAAAAGGCGAAATTGCCGTGGTTTCTTGCCCATAGTTAAATGTAAATAATTTCCTGAATGTCTCACCTGTTGGACCTAGGGGCTTTCCTAACATCTAGCTGGTGAGTGGAAGGATTAACTCTGGCTTTGCATCAATGACATTTTCATCCCAACAGCTTTCATTTATTGAACATATAAAATGAGCAGGGCACTGTGTTATATTTATGCAAGTTATCTCCTTTATTACTTAAAACAGACCCCAGTCAGATATTCTTCTTATTTTGCAGATGAGGAAACTGAGTAGTTAAGAGGTCTAGCAAGGATTTGGGCCCAAGTATTCTAATGGCAGAGTGTGCACAATTGACCCCGTATGCTGCATTGCTTCTCTTACAAAATTTTAAACCTGGGCATCTCTTCTCTGGATCATTTGGGGCAAGAAAAAGAGGTGTTCAGGGAAAAATAGCTTTAGTAGGAGTCTAGGTACAATGCAAGAGTCTTTGTAATATAGACTGAACTGCATTTTGGTTTCATATTATTTGCTCTATAATAGCTGAAACCATGATATGATTAACCTATGTGATGCTTAAGACAAGTTTAAAAACACAAGATGGCAAATAAAATCTGGGAATATTTTTTCACGGGTAATGTGACAAATATCTCTACCTTATTCTCAGCAACATATTAGAGAATCATATATAGAAATGTGTAAGAACACCAAGCACAAAAACATGAGTCTGCTTAGTTAACATAGAACACATGGATGGCAAAAGTTTATTTTATTTATCTGCTAGAGAAATCATAAGAGGCAAAAAAGTACTACCAATATTGGACAAAACAGATAATTGACATTATCAATTTTTAGTAAGTTTCTAACTTTCTTTTTGTTTCTTTTTAAATCTGATTGCATTAAGACACATACACTCTTCAATGTAAAAAAAAACAAACCATCATACACTGAACTAAATGCACAAAGACCTCATTATTGGAACATTAGCCATGATTATTTTAATATTCTCACAGCTTCGCAATTTTGAGAATATACTGGCATTATATAAGAAGAGGAGAAGGAGGAAGAAGAGGGAAAGGAGGAGAAAGAAAAGGTGGTAAACAGAGGCCTACTTAAGAATTCCTGGCCCCAGTTGTGAACAAGAATTAAACACAGACAATGAGTGGAACACAGATACTAATTCACATGACAGAGAGTGGGCAGTCAACAATGAACTGATGTAGACTACTTATAGAATTCCTCTGTTATTGCTCAGTTCTTATTTTCTCCTCTTTGCATGTAGTTGAAATTTCATCATGATGAATAGTACCTTGGATCTTTTTTTTTTTTTTTTTTAAAGTTGTGAATGCAAGTGTTTGGCTTTGCAATACAACTTATTAGTATCTGGAAGATAACCAATGCTTGAACAATAAAGATCTTTTAATACAAAGGTTTTAACTTCTGCCAGTTCTTACTCAATTTTTCAGAAGGTTTTTTCTGTACATTTCTTAAACAACACATACATTACATAAAACATAAGAATTAATGTTCATTCGCGAGGTCTGATTCAGTGACAAAATGCACTACCCGAATCTAGTAACACATTTACTCTTTGATGCATATAAGAAACATACGCTATATTGTTTTGTGATCCGTGCAGTAAATGTTCACAAAAGTCACACAAACAACTAGACGTTCTTCGCTACTAAAATTAGCTGTCCCAGTCACAAAAGACTTAACAAAAATAAAAGCACTGGCGGTTACATCAAAAACATGCTGCACTGAGTTAGTCCTGGAAGAGCTGGTTAGCAGGGACACAAGGAAGCACTGATAGCCGCAAATTTTCCTCTTCATATGTGACTGAGACTATTCTCTTCTCACATGGCTTTACCCCATACTACAGGCTTTTGCTAAAGAGGCATTTCAGGCTTCAAATTAAAACAATTGACCGTTAGTGAAAAAGCAGAGAAATGCCTCTCTTGAGTTTCTGATCCTAGAAACAGCTTGCTATAGGTCCTTAAGGCAAATGCCAGGAGTCAAAGACACTGTAGGACAGTCTCAGGATGTAAACAATAAAATCACTGACCAAGGAGTTATATCCTTGGATGAAAACTCTTCATAAGAAGACCTAACTGGATAAGCCCAAACTTCTTGGCTTTCGAAAGTAATGTGAATTTTATATCCTAGAAGCGCGGTACTTTTTTTCTATTGTAGAGACTTCTGGAGTAGATAAAAGTTCATGATGTTGGTTAGAAAAATACATAGCATGGAGAAGCTACTCAAATACCAAGCAGTTTTCAGGTTTGTTTTTGTTTGTTTCACTTTTACATTTTTCTTTTGTAGTTGGCATATGGAAAACCAAACTGGGAAATCATAATGTTGGAGTATTTTAAGGGCATGCTATCATAGATATTAACAAGCTTATTTATACAGTAAGACCTCTGCAGAGCATGCTCAGCTCGATGCCACATTCCAGAATAGCCACTGTTGGTTTCTTTTTCCAAATTGTCCATGTTTACAGGCTTCACAAATATCCCTGAAGTCTTCCCAATATGCTTGGCAATGATAAAATTCATGGCAATATCATCACAGTTTTGAGTATCATCTATCAAAGCATGGACAGCTGCAGGTTGCCTCTGAAAGAGTTCAAGATATTTGCTATTGAAGAATGAGGCTCCAATCAGCACCATAGAGTACTGGTCACCATTTCCAGACCCTGGTGCTTGCATTTCAAAACTTCCATAATTGTAGATACCTGATGAAGTAGGGACGTGCTTTCTAGGAACAAATCCTACAATTTGATCAGGAAATTGCTGAAAAGAGGAAAAATAACAACCAAGTGTCACATATTTTTACAGAAGACATAGTGAAAAAGGCAATGATTTATTATTACAGGAGAATGAAACTGATTTGTCAACGTTTCTGTTCATCTAACTCCAGGCAACTTCATAAATCTATGTTCTGACACATTTACAGGTCAAATTACATCACAACCCAAATTTCTCTGAAAATAAATATTCTACCCTTACAAATGTTCTCCTAATTCACACATTATCTGACATTAACAAATTCCAGTCACCAAAGAGTCCAGTCCTTCAAAATCTGCTGTGAGAAAAGTTGACTGCCTGAATGCTATTTATTGTAGGAGATAAGAGATAATGGGATCATTTTGAAAATTCGTTCTAATCTCTTAGGAGTATATAAATTTATGGACCTACGTGTGTGATTATCTCTTTTTCATGTTGATCTCAATGTTCATAAAAGTTACAGCTGATTTTAAACAATGTTATATTTTATCCCATTTCAGCTTGGGTGTTTGTTTTTAAAAAAAGGGATAATATAAATAAATGTTTATATTAATCTATATAAAATAAATGTTTATATTATATATGTGTAAGAAAGATACATCAGAATCTTTGATGAAAGGATAGATGGTAGATGAGAGGGACTAAAAATAAAACAACAATCAACAAACAAAAGAAAAACACTGAAGCATGGGAAAGAGGTAAAAACTTACAGGGTGGAAAGGTTTCATTCACTCTCATAAATAATTTGAGTTTCATTCATTTCTTGAACAGACACAGACTAGGGACACACACACATGCGAATTAGCCAGAGTTAAATCCTGTTTCAAAGCACTTATAGTCTAGAGAGGGTAGAGGGGGTATGACATGGATATGCAAACAAGGAATTACAATACTGTGAGAAAGTTGTTAAGCGCAGCTGGGTAAATCTGATGGGAACCTTGAGGGTAGAACGACAACTGTGTTGCTGGGACCCAAAGGGGAAGGTCAGGGAATCGGGGATAAAGGCTAGGAGGCTTCAGAGAAGATGAGCTATTTACACCATCTAGAAGAATGAAAGAAATTTCACAGTTGGCTAGAGGGGGAAAAGGGAAAATACCAAAAGTGGAGGTAATGGGCAAATACAAAGACACAGATGAATGTCTACTCTAATCTTGCTTGCTTACATACAAACCTCAGATCATTATGCTATATGGTGTTTGGGTTGGACTGAATTCAAGTTGGTCAATGGATTGAAATTGTTTTTGATATTTTTAGAAATAAACCCTGAAATCATATTTTTGCATCTTTTATTTATAGTTTACTCAGATGGTTCCAATTAACCACAGTCCCCACGTTCCGCCTCCATTTTTACATTTTGGACAAATTGATTTTTAAGCTTCAATAGAAGTACTACATTAGAACTTTTTGCCCAAGAAGCTTTTGTTTACAGGGCTGGAAAAAACTGCTGATACGGAAAAATTTCAATTTGTTGATCAGCACACTAGGCATGAAGTTAAAAACTGGAGTTTTAAAAATGCTGATATCTACAGAGTATTGTGACCACTTGCCATTAATATCTAATGCTGTTATATCCCAAAAAGCTAATTTAAAAAGTTGCCATGGTGCCAATTAGATCATTTATTGGCAGCACAGTGTTTAATTATTTGACACGGCTTCCGAGTACTTCTATGACGTTCTGGTTTCGGGTAACGGTAGTGCAACTTGTAAAAGTTAGCTATTGCTAATGCATACTCAATAGGAGAGAGCTGCTTTTATAGGACACTGAGCTATTTATGCCTGCTCATTCAAGCTGGGATTTAGGAAACCACAAAATAAAACAAATCCCTCCTACCACAATGGTATATGTAGAATCATTACTGTAAAATTTCTAAACAACGGTCTCAGAACCAGGATTAAATTTTGTGGAGATAATAAATAACTTCCTTTTACAAAAAGTCATATACAATATTAATATAGAAATCCCTTACCGTTTGAGACACATGTCTGTGTAAAATATCTCCTCATTCTAGTTTTTGCTAAACCACATCATTTCCTCATTGTTCTCTGCAAGGTAGTTCTAGCTCTTTTCCCAAAATATACCAAAGTATAAATTAAATCTAGATAAAACATACCATGACTTTCAGGTTGGCTGAACTAAGCTCAGGGAATCCTGATTAGCCTAAAACAAATTCATCCATCTTTTAGACCAATATTATCTATGATATTTTAGGTAACCTTTATATGAACCATGTTGCCCTGATTAAGTACTAGTCAAGATCTTAAAAAGACGGTTTCATAAAGGAGAAAGCAACGTTACCTGCCAAACTGAGAAAGCAAAAACAAGGTCTGGGGTGCTGATGAGTGTGTCGTCATCTACCATCAACACTGCTAAATTAAAGGACAAAAATTTAAGTTGAATAGTTTGGAAATGAAAACAAAAGTAGTAAAATACAATAGTGTCTACATAGATCATTCAAATGAAGTATTTTCTGACACACTAAGTAAATAAGCAATGTATTCTTGGGGAGATTTGTCCAGTAGAAAAATAATTTTTTTTTGGTATCATAACTGGTTATATCACTGCCTGACGGGAAAATAATCAAGTAGTTATCCTCCATCATCCTAGAAACTATTGAGCCTATATATAAATAAAGCCAAGATTCTTTTAAGCAAATTGCAACCTCATGAAACTGTCAGGAATGGGAGCAAAAGAGAAGTGGCAAAAAAATTATATAAAGCATAATCTAAATGACATCTTACTATCAGCTGTAATGCAATAATTTGGAATTATAACATCGTTTATGACAGTAATAACATCTTTACCAGGAAACTGCTTCTTGACATCTTGGAAATTGTCCCCAAGCTGTGCAAAGTGCTTTCTTAGGACTATCTTCCTTCATTTTTCTGCAGACAGTTATAAGACAACCAGAAGGCCAGCCCCGCACGCCCGCCCCAGCTCTGTACAGCAGCAGCCCTTCCAGGCTGAGAACTCAACTCACCATTGGTTTCCAGCTCAGGAAAGACCTGGAGTCGATTTCTCATCCTGTTTGCTGTCTGTTGCTTGAAGATCACAGGGATAGGGTGGGGTCCTAGAGAATTCCATAACTCATCTGGTGTCTTCTCTCCAATATTGTTCCATACCACAATCACTTTGTGCAGATTTGGTACAGCCTGATAATGATTTAAAAGTTTTAGTAAGAGATCTGTTCTGTTGTACGTCTGCATTATGAGAGTAAAGGAGTCCAGGGTGGACTTGCCCTGGGATTTTATTTCCCTACGCAACATGAGCATCTTGTCTTCTTTGACGGTGGGAAGTAAAGTTGTCAGAGCGCCAGCTACCAGTAATAATACGAGGATGACCACCAAAGAGAATCGAAGCACTCGAATCCCCATTACTCTCCCAGGAAGTTTGCAGATGTGGCAACACCTAGAGGAGAAATGGAAACAACATACAGAATGTTAGCATTCTTACTAGTCCCTGTGTTTTCATGTTTTTTGTTTTTTGTTTTTTTTTCAATGAGGAGAGATAGCGACCTTATTTTCGTTGATTCAAATTCAGTTCTCCCTTCCTCCTCAATAAGGCACTTTGGCCTAAGAGATTTTTAAAAACTAGAGTTTAATACTCCTCCTTTCTCACCCTGCTTGTTATGCAGTTGCAGACAAGAGATGTTATACACCCCAAAGTGGAAGAGTTAAGCATTTAAAAGTTTGCCCTCACTTTATCACAAAATCTCCAGCAGTGAGATTATTTTTCAACTGGGATTATATTTCCCTTAATAACATATTAATTTTAAATTTACACTTCTGTAGTAGCAGACTTTTTCCCAAATAAAATCATATAGAGAGCCATAATACATGAGGCAGCAAACAATTATGGTAGGTTTATTACTTATCAGACCCTGTACTACGTGCTTCATATGCCACAGTATGTACTTATTCATTCAACAGATAGTTACTGAGCACTTACTTTGTGCCCACACTGTTCCAGGTTCTGTGGATACAGCAATTAACGAGATAGAAAAGGTGTCTGCTGTTAGTAGCAGAGGAGATGATAGGGAGAAATAGATAGCACAATAAACAAATTCAAAAGATAATCTGGGGTAATGGGGATGAAAAGAATATTTTTATAAAGAGAATAAATCAGAATGATAAGCAAGGGCCAGATCATGTGGGACCTCTAATCCTCATTAAAGAGTCTGGCTTTTACTATATGCCAGATAGGAAGCCACTGCATGTAATTTATTATTTATTATTATTATTATTCCCATTTAATAGTTTAGATGCTTACAGAGAATGATTAACCTTCCCAAGATTACTAAGTAATTTAAGTAATGGTACTAGGATTTCCATCAGGAAAATCTGCCCCCAGAGCCCAGACTCTTCACGGTCTTGGGCATGTAATGCCTGGTGCTAAATCCAGGTTGAACTGAGGCACAGCCCTTGAGCTTCTGCAGCTCCCTTTCTCACAGTACAAATCACAAGGTATTATTATCAGCTATGTACCCTCTCATCTTCCTTAGTGTACCTAAAGCATCTTCCAGAGATAGTCATAGAACAGTAGTGAGCAAATTGATAATTATAGTCTAGCTATCCAGTGGTCAAAAATTTTTGTGTAATCAGATCCTTGCTTGTATGAGAAAAGGTTAAATCTCACAGACAGATTTTTGTTTTGTTTTGTTTTAGATGGAGTTTCTCTCTTGTTGCCCAGGCTGGAGCGCAATGGCGTAATCTCGGCTCACTGCAATCTCTGCCTCCCGGTTTCAAGCCATTCTCCTGCCTCAGCCTCCCGAGTAGCTGGGATTATAAGCATGCACCACCACACCCAGCTAATTTCATATTTTTAGTAGAGATGGGGTTTCCCCATATTGGTCAGGCTGATCTCGAACTCCTGACCTCAGGTGATCCACCCACCTTGGCCCCAAAAAGTGCTGGGGTTACAGGCCTGAGCCACTACGCCCAGCCTCACAGTTTACAGATGCTTAAAACTCTGATTTCTTGGATTCCAATAACATTTCATTTCCATGCTGGCTGACTCCTAATGTAGCACTGCTGGCTTTCAATTATCTGTTTTTCAGCCTTCTGCTATTTCTGCTTCTGATTCCACGCTACTTACTCTTCCACAAGCCACTAGAAGCATTTTGGGTATGGTCCTTGTTTTGTACTTTGGCAACTGAGTCTTCATAGCCATTTCACCATATCTTGGATCTGTTTTGCTACTCTATTCAAGTACAAAGCCAGAAGTGAGGAAAATGAACTATTCAAAGAAATCTACTTACAAAAAAAAGACTGAAAACAAAAACCAATCAGAAGTTTCTAAACAACATATTTAAAATACCTTTAAGAAAAAAATAGATCTCTTAGAAAGAATAGGCGGGATATTACTCTTGATGACCTTAATTAATCCATAGTCTATCCCTTCTCATCCCCACTTCTGATACAATTTCTCTTCTTAGGCTATATGATAAATAGTTACTACCATCTATTGCTTAATACAGACAGATGTAATACAGCTGGAAAAGACTTCTCACTGCTAACCACAGCTGAAGTATACTAACTGTAAATAGCTACTGTTACTCTTCTTGGTATAACACTGCTCCTGTATATTTCAGTTTTGGTACTTCCCCTTTTCTTGGAAAAGTGCACTGTATGTATGCTTACACAGTAATATCTAAGCTATTGATTTTATGTCTTGGGATAAAGTTAGGCAATTGAAGCTAGGCCATCATTCTATAGGCAATCCTAAGACTGTAGTCTAAATTTAGTTTGGAATTGAATAGAATAGTTTTGGAATATTCTATTTCAAATGAAATCTCACTGTACTTTCCAAGTGATACCTACTCAACATTTTGTTTTTCACTGAAGAGACTTGGCAGTGGTTGGGTTGGTGACCATCATACTTCTGTAACCTTGTTTCATGTTGTGAGGTGTGTTTATAATTGTAGAAAGTTTCCTCTCTATAGTTCAAGGATGCAGAGAGATCATACATACCAGTCTTTAACATCTTCCTTTGAAGTTTATGAGAATGGGGAATAGAGAATCCAAGGACGGGGCATACTCTCCATATGACAGGACAGTATGCTCAGACATGTGCAAGCAAAGGAAGTGTTTGTTCACAAGGACAAGGAGAAGATAACTGCCATTCAGCAGTCTCACTTTTCAACAGTTCAGATGAAAAGTAATATCACCTTTAAAGTAAGCTTTTCAGAGTGCTTTCAAGGGTATCTCTCTTGGACTTTCTCTGCGGCTTGTTCTATTAAAAAGAGCAATTGTGTGTTTCTGCTTCTGTCATAGCCTCAATCTTAAGGTATAAATAAAATAAACTATTTTCAAGGTAACCTTGGCTTTTCCATGTTTATTTTACGAGGATGGCAATTTAAAGCTTTAGTGTACCATGTTTTCATTTTATGTACCTTCTTGCTAAAACAACATATACCATTAATGTGGTCAAAGACAAATCATTATGAATTAATAATCTTGGTTCAAAGTCCTTGAAAATCCTTTTAATACAAATGAAAAGTAGGTCCTATAACACATATTTTCAGTTCTATAGAAAAATGACCAGTTATAAGTACTGAGAGTAAAGGATCATTTTGACTAACTGCATTGCAGTATACCACGATTAAGATCTTTATATTCATTTTCTGAAGCAGAGTAGGAATAGCATATTTTAAAACTTACAAAGAAGTGTTTCTGATCTCTAAACACTAAAAACTTACTGTCTCGCAGTTTCAATCCAGAAAAAGTAATGAAGATTAATTACTATAGCTTTCTATAAATATACACTGTTGAAGACGCTCTTGAGTGACTGCTTCCCTCTCATGTATTCTTTTAAGTAGGAGTTTATCCCCTGTACCATCACAGAAATTTCCTTTCGGATAGCTTCTAATTCCCCAATTTTACCTGTATCAGAAAGGTGTCAGGAGATATGAATCATTTATGTCTTTAGAAACATAGTGTAAATATTTCATGTGGCATTTATTAAATAATGCAGTCCAATAAAATTATGTAAATTTTTTAGTTTGCATAGCAAAATATGAAGAGCAAGTACTTTACAGACTGTAGTGCAAGTGGCACACTGCACTTTGAGAAGAGCCGAGGTCTATAACTCCATCATAGGCCCATGAGAAGCAGCTTGAGTACAATTTGGAGAATAATGATGACTTTATGGCTAAGCCGATTTCACAGTTTTTAGTGCTCTTCTGTTCTTCTTTTAGAGAAAGAACCTATCATCTAATTTGCAGCTCTGAGCTTTCAATGAAAGATATGAGAAAAGCACATCTGGATGACCTATGTCTTACTTGGGAAGAAGTAAGAAGTAAACATAAGCACCTCTCAGTGCTCTTGCCCCCAACTCCTAAATTTTCCCTTTAGGTTTTGGTTTTTCCTTTTAAAGTTATGTCTGTATATATTTGCTGACATCCTGCCTCATTTCACAAAGGATCTGACAGCACTTAGTCTATTCCCTTTCTGTCCTCCTCCCATCCCTGTGACTACAGTAAATATAACTTTGATAAATAGAGTAAATGTCAGCAAAACAAAACAAAAATCCTTCCTCTTCTCCTTATTATCTAAAAAAGCAAAGACTCCCCCAGCGATATTTTTTGTATTAGTTCTTTATAGATAGAGAGCACATCCTTTTAGTTATTTTAATACACGGTTACTTAGCATCTTCTACGCCAGAGGTCCCGAATGCTCAGGCTACACACCAGTACTCGTCCACAGCCTGTTAGGAACTGGGCTGCACAGCAGGAGGTGAGCGAGGGTAAGCGAGCATTACCACCTGAGCTCCACCTCCTGTCAGATCAGCTGTGGCATCAGATTCTCACAGGAGTGCAAACCCTATCGTGAACTGTGACCTGCACGTGAGGGATCTAGGTTGCGTGCTCCTTATGAGAATTTAATGCTTGATGATCTGAGGTGGAACAGTTTTATCCCCAAACCATCCCCTACTACCTATCCATGGAACAGCTGTCTTCCACAAAACAAGTCCCTGGTGCCAAAAAGGTTCGGGACTGCTGTTGGGTATGATTTTGCTTTCCAGGGGACATTCGGCAAAGTCTGGTGATATCTCTGATTGTCACAACTGGAGGGGAGATACTATTGCTATCTAGTGGGTAGATGTTAGGGATGCTGCTAAATATCCTATGATGCATAGGACAGCCCCCCATGGCAAAAAATTACCTGACCTAACATGCCAATAATGCCAAGGTTGAGAAACCCCATCTACCTATAATTTGCCTAATAAGACACACTTAAAAATCATGGGGAGGACTACTAGAGATGGGGCTTCTGAAAATCCTATTAGTTAGACTCAAACAGTAAGAGACAAAGCCCTGTCTCTACAACTGCCCCAGGAGGCCAAGCATAGTGGCTCACATCTGTAATCCCAGCACTTAAGGGGGCCAAAGCAGGAGACTGCTTGAGCCC